CGGCAATGAAACGCGCTCCTCGTTTCCTTCCCGGTTCCTCGTCCTCGGGACAGGATACGATCGCCGCTCCGCCCTATCTTTGCGCCCCATTCGCCCTCCCGCAGGGACCAACGAGCAAGGAGCAACGTCACCCTCATTACCGATAAGATACCGATCGCGATGCATGCACGTCCACCGGGCACTAATCCGCGCCGTGCTCTGATAATTGAGCAAACAGCGGACGCCGGAAATACGTAACAGCCGTTACTGTCACGGTAACGTCGATGCGGGATTACGAGTTGCTGGCTCGTACTTGCTCGTAACCGGGGTCAATTTGCGGCGGCCACAAATCACGCCAGGATCAGTGTCCGCTGCGACGCGTTCAATTCTCGCGGAACCGCCGGGGAGGAAACGGCGTTTCCGCCGAAAAGTCGCGCGCACCGACGTCGCACACTTCTCGAATAATGGTCACTCGGATATCCGATGTGGAGTAGAGGCAAGCCGAGTCTCTCAACGTTCTCGAATTTCAAAGGGACGCCGTCGAATTTTCGTAATAAATTTGCGTACCTCGAGAGAGGACGGTCGCCGAGCGTTAAATCGTAAACGCGCTGAACAGCACACTTGACAAAAAAGAAGAAAAAAAAGACAAGCGGTCGAAAAATCCAGGTCGCCGGGTGGATCCGCGAACGCTGACTGTTTCAACGGGGGCACGTAACTAGTTGGGTTAGTTACCACAACTGAGGCACGCTAATTTATAGTTTGCTCTATGCCGTTGTCAAGAATGTCGCGCACGCTTCCGTAATTAGTTGCGCCGCGCGATGAAAATTTAACGCCGTTATGAAAATTCGTAATTATTTATTGTCTTGCTGTTCCGGTGCGAAACACGCTGTAATTACCGGCGCGTTTCGCGCCAAGGTCCATCGCCGGGCTTCGCGTTTACAGCCACGACCACCGACGGCGACGACAACGACGACGATGGCGACGACGACTACCACGGCGACAACGACTAACTCTCCGACCAACTTTCCGCCGCGACCGAGATCGAAACTGCATCGAGAGATTTAATTGCTCGTGCCGCCCTGCGCCGTCATTATTAGTGTTTTAATTAACTCGTCAATTCCGACGCGTCATTTTAATTACACGCATTCCGATTTCGTGCGTTCCGGCCCGACGAAGCTATATACATCCACGTATCTCGGCCCCAGGGTGTGCTGCGAGAGATTCTCCCTTGCGGAACTCCGCGATAAATCTCGATTAATCCAATCGAGACGCCATCGCGCGAATCCTGGCACGTGACCAATCCGAAGGAAGCAATTGCCGATCGCCTCTCGACTCGCTAGGAATAGACCTTCTCTCTCGTTTAGTTAACTTAGTCGCTCTTCTTCGATTAGTTAACCCGCCTCTGTCTCTCGCCACGGCGAACAGACAAGGGAGATGCAGCTTTCTTGGGAGCTCGCCGACATAACAGACACCCTCTTCTTTCCCTCGCTCTCTTGCTGCCCAGAACTTCGTCCTACACTCCATAGAGCGAGATGAAAGTCAGAGAGAGAGAGAGAGAGAGAGAGAGAGAGAGAGAGAGAGAGAAAGAGTGGCCGCTCGGCCGGAAAATCGCTTTAAACCGCGCCGACTAATATTAACTTTCTCCTATCGTTTCGCTAAATTCCCGAACTCTTTTTCCCTCGCATCGCGCAATCCGCTGCTGCCGTCGGGATCGTGAAAGCCCTTCCCTTCCTGAGGGGCGCACCGAAATTTCCTTATTTGCCGTTCGAACCGGCCGGCTTTGTGTAAACTTCGTTTTATCCCACAAACGGCCGAATGTTTTCCTCTCTCCATCTTGTCGGCCTCTCTCTCTCTCTCTCCCTCTCGCGATCGATGCGTCTGGAATTTTGTAACGAGGGAATAGGTGGGCGATATGCGCGGGCGATGAAGCTCGTCGTCGGTGGTATAGTCACGACACTCCAAGGTCGCGTGTAATTAACTACCTCGCGCATACCATGAGCGCGATCGATTCGCAACTTTTGACTTTCGCGAGGCGTGCCGCCAGAACGATGACTTTTGAAGTTTGGTGATTTATAGCGGCGCGAAAGAGGTGGCGGAAAAGGAGGAGGAGGATAAGGAGGTGTGAGGCGAAAAGAGCGACGAGCGGCACGATACGGGTCACTATTTCAAACCAGCTAACTTTATGCGAGCGATTTTACGGCGCAACAAACTGTCACGTCCGCAGCGTGAAACAGTAATGCCTTCCGCTCGTATAACCAGTCCAGCATTCTACGATAACTCACGCGAAGTGGCTAACCGGCCGCTAAAAGCGATGCGTACACGATGCGTTTTTGGAAAAGAGAAAAAGAAACGAAGTATCCGCTGCGTTTCTTTCAAAATGCTAAAGGACTCGACGAATCTCAAAGCGAAATTTGAATTAATTCAACGCTCATCATGAATTTGCTTCACCACGGTAACGTACAAATACCTCGACTTGCACGACAGTTTCTCTCTCTCTCTCTCTCTCTCTCTCTCTCTCTCTCTCT